CTCTCTCTCTCTCTCTCTCTCTCTCTCTCTCTCTCTCTCTCTCCTTTTTTCTGCACAGTTGCTCATATTTTTATTTAAATAGAAGTGAATAAAAAACGTCAGACACACACACACACATGCGCGTACAGGGGAGCCACACTGACGCATCTGTTATTGTATAGTTTATTTTTTCTTCTTCTTTTAAAGTCGGACTGAAGCTGGTCTGTGGAGGAGAAGAGTTATTTTTTATATATATATTTTTTTGCCGCATTCAACAGTGTTTTCAGAGCAGAGAGAGCCTCTCCTCCCCCTCTCTCTCCCTCCCCAGTTTGGAGAGAACAGGCAAAGAAGGAGGGGGGGCAAAGTCAGTGAACTGATCACGATCCAAAACCTCGGCTGGTTTTTGTCATCATGGAGCTTTTACCTCGCAGCTGGATACGCTGTGGACAAAACTGAAACAAGAGGATTTGCTTTATTTTCTGGGAAGAAAAAAAAAGAAGAAATCTCTCCTCTTTCTGTGTGTGTGTGTGTGTTTGTGTGTGTTTGTGTGTGTTTGTGTGTGTGTGTGTGTGTGTGTGGATTGATTCTGCCCCGTCTCCTCTCAGCATTCCCTCAGTCAGTCGACGGATTTTTTTTACTGTTTTTTTTTTTTCTCTTGGCCATTACAGCTCAGCAGAGGGTGTCAGATCTTTCTCAGACCGAAGGATGAACGCAGCCTCCGAGATCCATTTATTGTGATTTCTCGTGCAAGGAAAAAAGATCTCTTTTTTTCCTTCTTCTTCTTGTTCTTTTCTCAATTTCAAAGAGGCGAAACGGCGCAAACAGACGCGGAAGGAGGAGGAGGGGGGAGGATATGCGGGTGTTTTGGATTGCCTGTGAAGCCCCCCAGCAGCAGCAGCAGCACCAGGGGAGAGGGGACAGCTCCCGACGCCGCAGCGCCACGCACGACTCCCGAAGACGGCAGCCGCTCTGTCCCCCCCCTCTAAACCTCACCAAGGTCAGTGTGAAGTGACAGAAAATCAAAGGATGGCTGCTTTTTCTTCTTATCTGCAACATTTGAGGATTCAGTGAGACAAACCGAGACTGAAACTGGAAGTCTGAGGCACGGATTTGTTCTAAATCTTCCCTAAATGTTTGTTTTTTTCCCCTCCTCACTGATGCAGACAGCTTCGCGGCTCGCATGTCTTGAACGCGGGGAATGAATTGCTTGTTGCGAGAGGGACCCTGAAAGAAAATGCTGCTCTGGATCGTCCTGCTGAATGCGGCTCTTTGTGTTGCCAGCGGAAATGTTACGAGGGACGTGTGCAAGGAGCGGGTCTGCTCGTGCGGGGACGTGGAGGGCGACCTGCACATCGACTGTGAGAAGAGGGGCTTCAGCACGCTGCGGCAACTCGCGGGTCCCAGCTCGCAGTTCTACCACCTTCTCCTGCACGGCAATTCGCTCTCCAGGCTCTTCCCCAATGAGTTTGCCAACTTCTACAATGCKGTGAGCCTGCACCTGGAGAACAACGGCCTGCACGACATCGTGCCCGGAGCCTTCCTGGGACTGCAGCTGGTCAAACGGCTGCACATCAACAACAACAAGATCAGGTCATTTAAGAAGAGCACGTTCCTGGGCTTAGATGATCTGGAGTACCTCCAAGCAGACTTTAACCTGCTGAGGGACATAGACCCGGTCGTGTTCAGGGACCTGAACAAGCTGGAGGTGTTGATACTGAACGACAACCTTATCAGCGCTCTGCCCCTCAATGTGTTCCAGCACGTGCCCATCACGCACCTCGACCTGAGGGGGAACCGGATCAAAACGCTGCCTTATGAGGGGATACTGGAGCAAATACCGGGCATAGCGGAGGTCTTGCTGGAGGACAACCCGTGGGACTGTAACTGTGAGCTGGTGTCACTGAAAGAATGGCTGGAGAATATACCGCGCAATGCACTCATCGGCAGGGTGGTCTGCGAGGCCCCCACCCGGCTGCAGGGCAGCGACCTGAATGAGACGTCAGAGGCGGAGCTGTGCCCCTCACAGAGTGGGGGCCTTGACACCAGTCTGGTGGCCCCTCCCACACAGGAGGAGACCGCTCAGAAGGGCCAGCCTCGCCCCACGCCTTTCAGAGACGCCCCCACACCTCGTGGCCCCAAAAGCCACTCCAAGTCTCGTGAGAACTGGCAGCTGAAAACAAAGCCCACTCCAGTGGTGACGGGCGTGAACGGCGATGGGGAGCAGCTGCACAACCTGACGTGCCCCCAGCCATGCAGTTGCAAGCTGGTGGGCTCCAGGCAGGGGCTGGGGGTCAACTGTGAGGGCAAAAAGATGGAGAGCCTGGCCGGTCTCAAACCCAAACCTCTGTCTGCCCACGAGCTCAACATGAGGGACAACAACATCCACGCGGTGAAGAAAAACCAGCTGCTGGGCTATGGCAGCCTCAACCTGCTGGATCTGGGGGGGAACAACATCAAGGTGATCGACAATGGCACATTCCAGAACCAGAGCGAGCTCAGATGGCTCTACTTGGATAAGAACTACCTGGATACTCTGGTGGCTGAGATGTTTGTGGGCCTGGTGAATCTGGAATACCTCAGTTTGGAATACAACGACATCCAGCTGGTGGTGGCAGGAGCTTTCAGCCCCATGCCCAACCTGAGGGTTCTGTTTCTCAACAACAACCTGCTCAAGTCTTTACCCACGGATGCTTTTCTTGGGATTTCTTTGTCCAAAATCAGCCTGCATAATAATTATTTCCCCTACCTGCCAGTGGCTGGRGTGTTGGACCAGCTCAGCTCAATCATCCAGATTGACCTGCACGGGAACCCGTGGGATTGCTCGTGCAACATCGTGCCCTTCAAGCAGTGGACGGAGAAGCTGGGGGCCGACGTGATCGTTAGCGACCTCAAGTGCGAGACTCCCGAGGAGTTCTGGAAGCGGGACTTCCGCCACGTCCGGAACGACCTCATGTGCTCCAGGCTGTATGAGCATGCACCTCCGACCTCGCCGTCCAAGAACGCCACGTTCGCCCAGGACTCGGGCGGCACGCGTTCGAACTCCTACCTGGAGCCCAACCGGGTGTCCATCTCCGTGCTCGTCCCAGGCCTGCTGCTGGTCTTCGTCACGTCGGCCTTCACGGTGGTGGGGATGCTCGTGTTCATCCTGCGCAACCGGAAGCGCTCCAAGCGGAGGGAGGGGAACTCCTCTGCGTCGGAGATCAACTCCTTGCAGACAGTGTGCGACTCGTCCTACTGGCACAGTGGGCCCTATCACGCTGATGGGGGTGCGCACAGAGGCTTCGACTGCAGCACGCACCTCTCAGTCACAAATGATGCGTGAAAACAGACCCCCATCCCCCAAAACACTGGATTACAAACTCAAACTGAAGTGTGAACACAAACTTATTTAAAGCCTCCAATCTGTAATATATCTCCACCCTCCCTTCCTTCCTCCAGCCTCCTCCTTTCTGCCGCAGTCGAGATCTCTGAGACAGAATATATTAAAAAGAAAGGAGGAGAACCAAGAGACTGAGTGTGTGCGTGTGTGTGTGTGTGCGTGTGAGAACAATCAGGGGAATGGTGCACGAACGCATGAATGTACATGTAAATACTCTGGACTGATGTATCATAAAAAATGCATGATGATGATGATAATCCGCATGGTTTCAGACACACATGACGGCGAGGAACCATAACCACCAACAAAGAGGCAAACTTTTCATGTTCTATCAATATGACCACAATATATATATATATAGATATTAAGAATTATATATACAAAAAGTGCCATTTCTCTATTTTTTGTGAACCTGCGGTTAGGATTTGTATTTGTTGTTTTGAAAGGGGTTTAAAAAATAATCAAATTGACTGGAGCGGAAGTGAAGCTGTCAGTGCATGTTTCCTTTCTTTTCTTTCTTTTTTTTAATTTACGTTGGGTTTTGTCAATTATTATTAATGCGGTTATTTATACTTAGGTGGTTGCAGATTTGAAACCTACATCTCCGAGAGTCATCATCTCCTTTATGAATGTACAAAACAACAAAAAAGAGGAAAACAAAAAACAAAACCTGTTGTTCTTTTTAAATGGTGTGCCAATTGTTGACTTTTTTATTTTTATTTTTTTTTCCAGACATGGCAGATGAGCATGACCGGTTTCCGGCACTCAGATGCTTCTGCTGCAAAAGTTCATGTAGCTACAACAACAGTCCAGTGGGTTTTTTCTTGCGTGTCGATGAACATAGCCTGCTTTTAGTGAGAGGAGGAAAAAATAAATTATATATATATATATAATGGAAAGTGAGATTTTTCAAAAATAGGATGGTAAAACCTTTGATTTTGCTGTTGTAGATAGCTTTTAAAAGCAGGGCCATAATTGGGGGGGGGGGGGGGGTGTTGAGGAGGACGGCCCTTCTGAGACAAAAATGCAAGATGCCTTTTTCAAACTTAGATTTATGGAAACTTGACAAACTCTTTATATGAGTCGCATATTCTTCTTTTTACCATCTTATTTTTGCAAAGAAGCATTTCCTATTTGATCTACATGTAGTCTGATGTAGAATAGAGCCTCTTTTTTAAAAGTATTCCTCCACACAAAAGAAGCTTATGGCTATGATTCACTTTCATCATATTGTGAGCTTTTGTAAAGCCATCTAATCCTGTCCAAATACAAACCGCACTGTATTTGCTGGGAAATGTGCTGGAAGCAGGGCCGTAGAAAAGAAAAGAAGGGGCTGGAGAGATTTGGCCCTAATCAGACACATTCAGTTAATGTAAGATGCCTTTTTTGTCTTTTCTTTTCTTTTTTTTTTTTTTTTTTACTTAGCATTTTGGAAACTTGAGCTACATTTTCTGTGGGTTGCATGTTTTTGGTTCTTCCCTTAACCATTTGTTTGTTTGTCTGCAGTGAACTTTTGTAAACAACGCCATGACTGAATAGCTGTTTTTTGCAGAAGTCAGCTGTCTAGCTGTGAGGGAGGGGAGGGAGGGGGGTGTCTGCTGCTTGTTTTAGAGAAACACTTCAAAAATAGTTTCCCCTCTTTTTATCTTCAAATTCATAATGGGATAATTCAGATATTTTAGAGTGGAGTTCTGTGGTAAAGCTTATGAACCATTCATTTCTGACTGGACTGATGAGCTAATGGCTAGTCTGATCAGGGCTAAGACCATAGTGAATCACTGCCTTTTTAAAACAATTTCAATGTAATTTTATATTTGACAACTCATACATTAAAAAATCTCATGACCTGTCAGTTTTGCGTTACTCTGCCTTTTTTTTTTTTTTTGCATATTTACAAATGCAAATATGTGGCATTAGCAGCTAGCTGCAGCACTTTCAGCAGGAACAAACTGTAAAATGTTATATATCAATTTAAACAGAAATGTAAAAGTTTATAAAGCTGTTATTTGCCTGATATGTTATATGAGATTTATGAACTTGGAGTTGTTTTTAAGGCTACACTTTGGTTTTGGTCTTACTCAAATTAACTATTAGCTCATCAATCAGGTCAGAAATAATACTATACTATTTATACTTCTACATCTCCTAATGCAAACATTGTTTATAGTATTGCTACATAACCCTACTTAAACTATCCATTTAAGACAGTGTGAGGAAAGTGTTGCTGATATTTTTTTAAAATGCAGATTTTCTTTCAATTCTGATGTGAACTCCCAGGTTTGAATGCTTGCAAATTGGAACAAAAGGAAGACTAATAAAAGGGATGGTTTTGAGAAGATTTGGCTAATTTGGTTGTGATGACTGTGCAAAGACTTACTCCCATCCCTTTCCCCCTGGTTCAGTATATTTCCCCAGTAGCCAGGTTGGCGCAGTCTATGGTGCTGAATCACCGTCTCCCCTCCCACCTCTTTTTCTTTGCTTTATTTTATTTATTTATTTATTTATTTTTTGGGCACGTGTGCATTTTCTGTGAGGACAAATGCGAGCAGGTTGGGGGAGGGGTAGAGCAGCTGGCGTGACCGTTTGCATGTGTGTGCAACCCTCCTCCGTCATAAAACATGTGACCACACAGCAGCTAACATCTCAGCAGATCTGTGATGCTCACCATTTTTTTCATGTTTTTTATTTCAGTTTCATCCACCTGCCCCCCACCCCCCCCACACACACACACACACACACAAATATCCCCTAGCTTGTTTGAGCATTTACAATGGAAGTGGAGGGGGAGGGGTGTTGTCAGTAGATTGTCTTTATTCTGTGGAGAGATACTGTGCCACAGTCCACTGATGAACTTGTCATGACTTTCAAACGCTGTGTTTCAAAGTTACATTTATATGCTTTGTGATATTTGACCTGCTTCTATTTTGTTAAATAAAGTGTGGTTGAGGTTGAGTAAAAACAACAAAAAATGTTTGGTTTTAGACATTTTTTATTATCGGGGTCATTTCTCACAAGAGTTCACAAGAGAACCGTTTATGAATGGAAACGGAAAAGATGGATTTGAGGGTTAGAACAGGAACACGCTCCTGCACCCTGCTGCAGTGCAAATGCAGCAGAATAACAGATACAGCTGCGTGGGTGTATGAAAATATGGGTGAAGCCAATATTCAAAATGTCTGTGTGTAAAAAAGATCCATGTACCTTTATTTTCTCTGAGTCAGAACAGAGATATAACAACCGTGCTATCACTGAAAGTGTGAGGTTTGAGTAGCAGAGTGGGCTACAGTACGCAGCGGTGGATAAAAGCCTGAAAACCATCACACTTCCTCTGCTTGAATACATTAGAGTGTCAGGTGTTGCCGCTGCCGCAGTCCTGGATGACTCAGGGAACAACAGTGGGACCCATTCATTAATGCGCTGTATAATAGTTGTTGGGAACGCAGCCGAGCCGAGCGGGCCTCGTTGACAAGCCGGGCACGCAGCACTCAGACGATGTCGTGCCCCGGCTCGCCTGCCGTAGTCGGCGAGGAGCTGGCAGTTGATGCAACACTTCCAGCGGGGATAACATCATCCGTGCGCCTCGTAACACCCAGCTTTGGTGTTAAGTCTCTGAGGCCTCGCTTTGACTCAGGTTTGAGGCTGTTTTTCATCCCTAGGGTGTTGGGAAGAGGGTTTGTTTGTGGTGAGTTGTGTAATCTGTTTTGCGGAGTTGTTCTGCATTTTGAGAGCTACTGCACGGATATTATTGAAACTCTGGTAGTCATCAAATGTACGTCTACAACTCACTCACTCTTGGAGTAAACACAATTCAAGACGGCTGCCAAAACTAATCAGCTTTAGAAAACACAAAAAAATGGCTTTGAAGAAGCCAGTTTTTAAGATTTTGAGCTAAAACTTGGAGCTTTTAGTAAAGTTGTCACCAGTTTATAATCTTAGTCCTCATTGATGGTGTTTGTTTACTACGGAGCCCGCGAGGGGACATGGGGGGATTTTTTCTCTTTTGCGTTCCCGTGTAAGACCTTTGCATTCCCTCGCAATACTTTTGCGTTACCTTGCAATATTGTTTTTCGTTCCCATGCAAAACTTTGATTTGTATATGAACTTAATTTATTCAGACATTTTTCTTGAAATATCCAGATACCAAAACAGGATGTCTCGCCACAAGTTCGTGAAATTGACATTGATGTTGCGTGGCTGCACTGTATTCAAATATCAGCATATGACATACTTCCATGCGTGGCTGTGTGATGTATTCATTCTGAAGCTGAATTAAAGCAGTAGGCTAACTTGCTAATGGTGAACATGTAAGTTTTTTAACAAACCAGCAGGCACAACAGAGTATAACGACTTTTGCGAGGGAATGCAAAAAGAAAAAAAAATCCCCCATGTCCCCTTGCGGGCTCAGTAGTTTACAATGTTGCCTTTAGCTACAATAATAAATTGAATAGATTAAAATATCTCATGAATTGAAAGCCCAATTTAAAAATAATGTCACAGAAATGAATAATTTTATCTATAACTGAGTAACTTTAGGAGTCAGTCATATTTAAAAAGGACATGCTGTGCAAATTCCATTTTTTTGGCCCTCTACATTTTGTTATGTACTAGAAAAGTTAAATTTAGTCTGCCGGTGCTGCATATATAATATTAGATTCTGTTTTGGTCATATTTTTCAGTTGGTTCAGTTTTCTTTATTCCCTATGATGGTTTTTGACAATGTCACAAAATTTTCTGCAGAATTGCTAAATAAGGGCATAGACTTCCATCTCACCAGTTTTGTTAAGCACCTGCTTTGCAATTAAAGAGACCGCACCAAAACGAGTTGCTCTCAGGCACACCTCAGAACGGTGTCCTGATGCATCTCAATAATCCAGATAAAATTATTTAAAATGTTAAATAGGTCCTCTGGACAGGTTCTTTTATGAACGTGTGAAAAGAATTGCAGTTCAATTTTATATAGATGAAAATTGAGTGATTTAAATGAGAAAAGGGAGGATTTAAAACCATATGTTCCGTTTAAGGTGGTTGCCATAGTTTATTGACCCTAACCAACACTAAACAGACTATAACAGTTGCTTTTATAGCTGATTAGTTAAATCTTCGACATAGTAGTAGCTCAAAATGATGTAAAAGTTAGACCAAAATGGCATTGACTTTATTTCTTAACATAATATAATCTTAGTTTGTGTTTTAATATCAACTGCAAAATACACCAAGTAGCTGAAGGCATTTCCCCTGCAATATTTTTCAAATAGCCTATATATATAAAAGTGATTAAATTCCTGAAATTCTGTTATAGCATTTAGTTTTGGTGTGCCACCTGAAAAATCATCAGTGGCTCCCATCTGGTCCCACTTTGTAAACTTTCTGGAGGCGCCGCTGTTGTTTTGGCTCATTAACTACGGTATTTCTATAAAATGAACCATTCTGTGGTACTTCAGGCCCGTTTGGTTTATTTTGTCATTGCTGGAGAAAAAAAAATAAAGGCCATAAAGTTTTAAGACATAACAGCAAATAGTTGTAAGGAAGAAGATTAAGGAGGATATTAAAGTTGATGTTGTCTGTCTTTTAGCATATTTGTTAGCTTTAGCAAAATAACATGCGTTCAAACAAAAGTTTTTCTTTTTTGAGTTAAAGCGTCTGTGGCTGGCTTTTATCTGACTCCCACTGGTCACATTCAGAGCGTCAGCTCTTGTTTAGGTTTTTGTAAAAAATCCCCAAAAGATTTTAAGCTGGGGTATTAGCTTTTGAAGTTAGCTTTGATCAAAGTCCCATGTGTTGCAGTGAAAAGTTGCCAGCAGTCCCGCTTCTCCAAACTCTGCAGCCTCTGCAGAACCTTTTTGCTGCTGGTATTAGCCCATGGGGGTGTGCGGTAGTGATTATCTGGTATTATCCCCCAGGGATTTCTTGGTGTTGCTCCCAGATATTATTATTATTAGCCCATCCACTGAAGCTCTCGTATAAGTCTCGGTGGTTG